ATAAAGTAAAAATTTGAAATTTAAAAATCAAAAATTTTAAAAATGTAATTGTGTCCAATTCTCCCTTTATTGTTTTTATATCACAATTTAATATTTTTAGTATAAAATATTATTTCAAAATATGTAATTTTATAGTGCAAAGAATGCAAAAAATTATTTTTTTCTTCCTTTTCCCCCCCTTTTTTTCTTCTTTTTTTTCTTGTTTTTTTTTAAACTCCAAGAGGGTCTGGGGGAAGGGGATGGGGGCCCGGAGTAATCAGGGATAAAACTCACTTCATTGAGTTTTGCACCCTTATGTGCCTAGCGGGTTTGAACTTGAGACCTCCCATTAATTTTTCTTTACATTGCAAAACATATGTTAGCTCTTTTTCGAAAGAATCTTAAACATATAGTAAAATTTTGAAATAATATTTCGTACTTAAAGGCAAAATTACATTTGCAGGGATACAGAACTTAGAATAGCAGCATGCAACTCCAACATAAGTTGAGGTTGAGTGGCTACATCAGTAATAACCTGCCGCAGTTTAACTTACATAGTACAAATTAAAACTACTGAACATATTTTAGGATAGCAATTATTAAATCTGCAAGGGTACCAATTACTGAGGTGGAGCACCGAAAACTACAACTGCAAGGATATTGATTTTAGAATAACAATAACTCCAAAAATTAAACCTGTTGTACTTTAATTTATATAGTACTAATATATAGTAAAGCATTAGTCTTATGAACCGATAGCAATCACCTTTATACTACTATCAAAAGCATTATAAATGTTACAATATTTATACATGAGTAAACATTGTACTAAAGCTAGTACAATGGTACTAGCTAGTATGGTACCAAAAGCTCTAACTACTATGCCTGATAGCAATGCCTCAATAAAACATGTACCAATACTAAGTTTGTAGCCTTTTTGTATCTATCTTGTTGTAAGTGCTTGGCAAGAACAGAAGACTTTCCTTTAAATTGCATTCTCGGAGCCTTGAATGGCAATTCTGTAGGTGTCCTTACTCTTTGATCAATATATTCTGATCATACATGTTGTTTTTTAGCCTTCCATTAAGGGCTCATATTATATTATGATTTTTTATCAATATATTATGATCATAGTTGGTGTTTCTTAGCCATCCGTTAAGGCCTCACATTAGTTATTGCAGGAGTGCAGGACATTTCATATCAGATTTACTGTTTTTGTCTATAACTTTGTTGGATTACACATGCAGAATTTTCAGCTTTCATCATGCCCTTTATATAGTCATACATTTGGTCTCAACATTGTTTATGACTCCTGGGGGAAAGGATGGGGCCTGCGAACTCTAGAGCAGTGGAGGACCTAGGGAGGGGCCTAGGGGGGCAAGTGCCCCCGCTTCCGACCATGAAATTTAGTATTAGTACTTAAGATAAAAATTGCGTCCCTGCTATCCGGACAAAAATTAGAGTATTTTTCATAAGTATTATCGGAATATAACTAATGAACAAAACCGTGGTCACTAAAATTGTTATGGTAGTACCTAAGTCACACTTCGTATTTTTGTCCACTATTTTTATTCAATCATATTGTCATTATTTCAAAAAACAATTAGATATATGGGACTACGTCGAAGAAATGTAATAATTGTAGTAAGAAATATAAACAACTCTGAAGTTGTGATGGAGCAAATTCTTATAGTTAGATATGTTGTTATATGGTTACTATACACTTTCTTTGAAAATTGGCATTGATGATGTTTTACTTCGTGTGAATAATGTCGGTCCAAAATTAAAGTTCAAAGATATGACAAGAGACCTAATATGTGGGATAAACTTAATAGATTGAAAACTTTTATCTTGAATAAAAGTCCATACATGAAAAAATGTGTGAATTCGCGATAAATTAGTTTTAAACCAACAACCTCTTTAAAATTTTTCTATAATATAATACTCGTAAAAGGTAGATATATAGAATCATATTATTAAATAAAGTAGTATTAAATGATGAAGTCCTAAACTTGACTTATACTTCATTTTTAACATGATAGTACGTAGTATTATATTTCAGACAAGTATCAACAAATTTTGTGGCACAATGTATAACAATGACATGATTCTAGTTCAAATATGAAATCTTGATCATTTTATGGTATAAAAATAGCGAAAATTATAATGTAAAATAGAAACAGCCCAAAGACGAGACATTTCTAATCCGCCAAATTATGTCTTTGTTTCAAAAAGTCAAATATTATTGTTTAGAATTGTATTAATGAGTTCACAATTAGACTTATAATCCAAATATGTTGATTGTTTGACGTCGGCATTGAATAATCTTGTTAAAAATATTAATTTGAACGCGCTTGACAAAAAAGATCAATGATACACCCAATTCAACCCGGCCCGACCCATTTTCATCTATGTGGGAGTGCCCCCGCTTCGGAAAACTTCGGGGTCCGCCACTGCTCTAGAGGACCTGCCAATAGGTGCATTTGTTTGTGCGAGCAGGATTTAGACATGTTGTCCACTAGTCATTCAAGAGATAAAATTGAAAACAACATGCTTATTACAAAAAACACACTGCTATGGGACATAAACAACACACTCAATCTAAATAACATGTTTTGGAATTAAAAATAATCTTATGACAGTGGAGTCTTGATAGACAACTACATAAAAACAACTTAGAGACATACATCATAAACTACTACTTGCAAATACTATAACAATGCAGTCAAGAACATCTCATATCATCTCACAATGTCAACAATTATCAATACTAGCCAACTAATCATAGCAAAAATGTATGCTATCTTTTTCTGCTTCTTCATTGTTGCTTCATATGCCAATGAGGTTCCCTCTTCAGTAGCATGTTTCTTCACATTTTCTAATTCCCTCCACAACTGTTGTATTTCTTGTTCTACCAAGTCATTTGGCATTTTCACTCTCGAAAGTTGAGTCTCTTATTCTCCATTTCTAGTATTTTTTTTCCAACTTCATCTTGTTTATCAAATCTTTGGCCCCCGGTAAAGCTTCATCATGTCATTCAAAATATCCACATACATTAGCCTGCAATTTAAATAGATATTCACTTTCCATTTGAAACAAATGAAAAAAAAACCACAATATCCCAGCAAGAAAAAATTGAAACAAAACAAACACAAACCCTCACTTTATAATTTGAACAACCGTAAAACGTAGCCCGAAATTGCTTTGAGTCTGATTTGAATCTTGGAGCCGTTTCTCCACAAAAGCATTTTTTGCATTGCCCTTGATAAGTTGATAGACAATCTCAAAATTCAAACATTTTTCAGACCTTGTGGATGGAGTCGAGGAAGAAGAATAAGACATTACCAAATTTTATGAAAAGGGAGAAGAATTAAGGAATATGGTCGTCATCTGTCATCAGCTGTGATATACGAAATGGACAAAGAAAGAACAGAAAAGAGAGGGGCTGGGAAGGGTTTTATTTCTCAGATGATTTTAGATACCGACGGAGTATGACAGATGAATTTTAAAACGCTAGGAAGGGTTTATTTGTACCTGAATTTCAACTTTATCAGCTTTTTGTTCTAAAAAAATAATATAAGGGTACATATGTTCCTGCACTAATAGTATAAGGGTATATTTGTCCTTTTTCCCATTTCAAAAAATCCGTATTTCAAAAAATATTAAAAAATGAGCTGCATTTTTTTTTGTTTCAGATTATTACTGCTTTTTCCATCATTTTCAATGGAGACAAAGACTCACTATTTTTTGGCTTGGGAAGATGATGGAATAAAGCAAAATGGCTCACTTAACTATCTGCACTTCTCAAAAAAACTGTTTGCGCTTCTTTGTTTATGAAGAACAGTCAGTCTATGCAATTTTCGACACGTTTTTCACTATGGGTCATTCGGAAACAATCTCTTTGTGCTTTAGTACAGGGGTAAGACTGCATACATCTGACCCCTACCCATTAGGGGTGGGCAATTCGGTTTACGGTTCAGTTTTCTTTGGTTTCGGTTCGGTTTCGGTTTATTCGGGTTGAGAGAATTTGTACCAAACTAAAACCATTTGTGTTTCGGTTTGGTTTGAGGTTCGGTTTGATTTGATTCGTTTGCTTATGTTTATTATTTTATTTGATCAAGTTCTATATTGTAGAATTAGAAAATGAAAGTAGTAGTCCATCTCATCTTTTTTAATTTATTGATTATTTAAATTAAATTTAAAAGGAAATAAAAGATAGAAAAATAATAATAAAATATTATAAATTAAAACTTCTAACATCTTTTTTATCACTACAAAAAATTCACTTCTTACAAAAAATAAGATAGTTGATTAGCATTTATAATATCACATAAAATATTCAAAAAAACCTAAAAGAGTCGGTGGTACAAATGTTGTAATATTCACAATTTTATTCAAACGAATCATGTAAAAATATAAATGCAATTTGCTATTGTTATCCTCAAACATAATAAATACAAATATGTCGTATTAGCTAACTTTGTCATAATGAATGTATGAAATGTGTGAAAGTTAAAATGATAGAGTATATGCTTAAATATGTATTTTCATGTCTAAATTATTGATTTATATCTAAAAATGAAGAGTGAAGATAAATACAAAATAATTATATGCATGTCGTTCGGTGTTCGGTTCGGTTTACGGTTTTTCCATTTTAAACCAAACCAAACCAAAGTACCAAACTATTCGGTTTGAGCAAATGTTTACCAACGGTTTAATTTACTTAAGTAAACCCAAACCAAACCACTAATTTTAATAATATATGAAAGTTTTTTTTAGTTTCTTTAGTTCGGTTCGGTTTTGTTCGTTTTTATCGATTTCGGTTCTGTTTAATACGATTTGGAAGAAATAGTACCAAAGTCAAACCAAATTTCATACGGTCCGGTTTCAGTTCGGTTTAGTTCGAGTTGATACGATTCGATTCGGTTAAATCAAACAGTTACACCCTTAGGTGGGAGCCTTTGCCAAGTTGGGATAATTTGATATTATTACTGCGTATAATTCATTCACCATAAATGCAAAAGTGAACAAATGAGGCACACACTGACTGACATACTCGGGGAGCACTTTTGCAAATTGAGATTTTCTCTTCTTTTTCTCTCTTCATCAACGCAAGGGAGACCTAGCAAGCTTTCAGAGAGAGGGCAGTCATGGGCTGTTTCAGAACATCGAAGAAGAAACCAAAGCAGCTGCACATCAAGAACTCCACTGACCAGATCCCATCAGCATTAGGTTCTCGTCATATTTAACGAGAAAGATACACCATTTGATGATTGATGTGAACATTTCATGTATCAAGTTGATTTCTTTATATGGGACAGATTCGCCTCCTTTATCTTTTCACTTTTGGGTCCTGAGAACTCCCTAGACCTAGAATTTCTCTTCTCGGATTTTTTTCCCCATTAAACACTACTTGTACATGTTTGGTTGGCATTAATCTATTGTTTTATGATCTGATTCAAGCTGGATTGATATATAAGGTGCCTTTTCTGTTCTAAAATCCTAATGGGTTTCTCCGAAATTCGTAGCCTTACATAAATTTTGAATTTTTAGCTCTTCCTTTTTGCATACATACAGTTCGCAGGTGATGTCAGTGAAGATTTACAGTTATGTAGGTCTCAACTCAGGGAAATTTGTTGTAGATATTGTTTTTAATCAATTCAGTTGAATGGTATTTAATTGAGTGGGATACCTACTGCTTTGTACCTAATTTGCTAATGAACGTCAGAACAAGTTTTTGAATCTTCTCCATGATTGGAAGTTCGAAATGATTAACCATGATTAACGACGACCATACCATTTTCAGGGATAGCTTTATTGTAGATTTGTAGAATATGTTTTTGTACTGTATTATATTTGTAGATAGTATTAGGAATTTTATCATTTCGGGAATCTCAAGAATGTTGGAAGATAGTAGATTTTCTTGGGTTGAGATTTGGAATTCTCAATGTTACTGTTGAGGCAATGCCAAAGAATCTCAAGAGTGTAGTTGACTAATGAGGCATTCAATAGTGAAATGGTTTTCACTTTTTTTTTTTATTTCATCTGTTCACAGAATTACTCATACAATTTACATGCATCACTTTTTATTGCCCTTTTTGGTTGGCATAGGTTTTGAGCTTTTATGTATGTATTTTATAATTTCAGATAAACAAAAGGTAAACTCATCTTCGGATGAAAAGAAGGAAGCATCCAAAAATGGAGGAGGTCCGGGTCACATTGCAGCACACACATTCACATTTCGTGAGTTAGCTTCTGCAACCAAGAATTTCAGGGCTGAGTGTCTTTTAGGTGAAGGGGGCTTTGGAAGGGTATATAGAGGGCAATTAGAGAGCACAAATCAGGTATGTTATGCCCATAGATATTCAAACATTTAAGTTTTAAAAAGCCTTTGAATTCTAGTTCTTTAGTATCCATGGTAATTTTTAAATATCGAGTCTCCACCCAATTACGAATGTAGTCCTTCAATTGTTATAATGATATATGATTCTTTTTTGGGCGTTTCAGGATGATGACAAACATATTCCTAGTTTCAATTGTAGGATAAGAATGTAGGAATGTACGTACTAATTAATTAGTTTGCAATCCTGATATTTCAAACTCTAAATAGAAATGGATGGAGTGATGGACACACAATAAAGAAGATGGATTCTTTTGGGCTTAGCATGCTCTTTTAGGGTTCATAACCTCATATGGAACCCCGGAAAGTTACAGTGAAAAAGTATAGGAAGGAAAACATACAATAAAATTGAAAGGTTAGAAATTGTGGAAGAAAATGAAAGATATGCTAAAGCTCAAACAAATATTTTAGATATATGTTGATACTTATTTTATGTCTATTATATAGAGACTTTGCAATCCGCATATATGTAAAGATATAAGATTATTAATTATATTCCAGTTTGCTTTACATTTTCTATGGTAAAACCAAACATGTGAAAGTATCATCTTTCCTGTCTTCCTGAGCACCCCCGCCCCCCTCATGGTTTTTTTGAGGATTTGAGCATAATCTTATTGAAATGGAGGAGTTGTCTTGGTGGAGTCTATTTTTTGGCTATTTGCGATTTAGGAAGCTACAATACTGTTCCCATATTAATATTCATGTAAGGTGTAACGAACTATGAAATATAGAATCTCCATGTTGCAGTTCCAACACAAGATAAAAAGAAATACCCATTCTATCCCTTAATGTATTTGGTAGCTTCTCTTACAGGCATTATGTATTTGGCTGCCTAGTACTACAAACATATCATAAGATGACATTATTTGTTGTGCAACCTCTACCTATCACTTTTTGGATAGATTGTGGCTATTAAGCAACTAGATCGAGATGGATTACAAGGAAATCGGGAATTCCTGGTTGAGGTATTGATGCTAAGCCTACTTCACCACCCAAACTTAGTCAACTTGATTGGGTATTGTGCTGATGGAGATCAAAGACTTTTGGTTTATGAGTACATGCCTTTGGGGTCACTAGAGGACCATCTCCATGGTATGTACAAATTCACATTTCAAACATTTCATATATACTGATATTATGTAATCCTATTCCAGGAAAAAATTGCGTTAGTGGTTCATATGGGACCTGTAAAATTCTGGGGGAAAGAAATATAAAGGAAAGTTGAAAGGAAGAAAAATTTGGAGAAAATAATAGATAGGCTCCAGTTCAAATGATGTGTTTCAGTTTATCTCATTAGTGCCCATGGGCACTTGTTAAGAAGCAATTAATATGTATTTAATGTTATACTCCGTAGTTTTCTTAAATAAACCCTAATCATGATGATAACTACATACATTTTAATGATGTTCCAGACTTCAAATCACATTTCTTCTCTTCTTGAATTTAGCAATTCTTTCTTGAAACTTAAAAATCAAACACATTAAGTGTTGCTCAACGTGTAGCCGTGGGCATATATTACAAAGAACGACTTTAGATATATGTTCAAATTCAATCTAAGAATACATAAAACTTATCACAGATCTTTTCAAGTTTTGCACATATTTATATATCTTTATATAAAACATACTCCCTCCGTCCCAATATAAAAGGCACATTTGCGTTTGGGGAGTTTTTAAGGGTGAACACTGTTTGAACACTGTTTGACACTGTTTGGCACTGTTTGGACACTGTTTGGCACTGTTTGGCACTGTTTTGCACTGTTTTGTTTGCCAAAAAGGGAAATGTACCTTTTATATTGGGACGGAGGGAGTATAACTTATCATGGATCTTTTCAAATATATACATATATATAATTATGAATATATGTATATATAACGAGTTTGAAGTTTTTGAACAATATCTATATTTGTTTATTGAGTTTGATCTGAGTTTCTAGTCTAAGTCTTCATTTTCCAAATTTCCCCTCTAATTTCTTTCCTATTTTCTTCCCTAGCATTTTTTGGGTTCCAATCAGACCATCTTGGTTTACAATAAATATTTTCCCAAGTTTTAAAACCTTTGGGACCATTTGGGAGCCTGAATATACAATGAAATTAATATTGGGAGGAAAATCGATTGAAGAAAATTTGGGTGGACATACAAGATAAGATCAAACTCAATAAATTATTTTAGGTATATGTTCCTGCGCAATTTATTTATTTCTATTATATTCATACCGTCGAATGCAAACATTTGTGAAAATTATAGGCATGATTGATTTTGTTTGCATTTTCTATGGTAAAACCAAATATTAAAAAAAACAGCTTTCCTTGGCTTTTCCCCCCTTAACCTAACATTTCCAGTGATCCAAACATACCTTTGATTTCTTCCAGATTCCTGATAACACCATATATGCATCTAATTAGTGTTACTCATACTATTAAATGATCCAACAGAGATTTCACCCGACAAAAAGATACTTGACTGGAACACCAGAATGAAAATAGCTGCTGGTGCTGCAAAGGGCCTGGAGTATTTACATGACAAAGCAAATCCTCCTGTGATATATCGAGATTTAAAATGTTCAAATATTTTACTTGGTGAAGACTATGACCCCAAGTTATCTGATTTTGGGTTGGCCAAATTGGGCCCCGTTGGTGATAACACGCACGTGTCAACTAGAGTGATGGGAACATATGGATACTGTGCACCCGAATATGCAATGACCGGGCAGCTGACACTGAAATCAGATGTTTACAGTTTCGGGGTTGTTCTTCTGGAAATGATCACTGGCAGAAAGGCAATTGACAATTCAAAAGCTTCTGAAGAGCAGAATCTGGTTGCATGGGTAACTAACTAATGAACTTCTATCATTAGCAGAGTTGTAGTTTGTGTGTGTTGTGCTGAGTTTGCAATACTAGCCTTGTTACAACTTACAACTACCTCAATTCATTATCGCCACATACAATCTTCCGTCCTAGGCTCTGTTTGCTTGAGGAAAATAACTTGTGGAAAACATTTTGGAGAAAATGTTTTCTTGGAAAATAAATGGTTTTATGTATAATTGTATATTAATGTTTGACGCACAGAAACTGAAAACCAAAAGAAAGTTTTGAGGAAAATATTAACTTCTTGTTTTCAAACAGTGAAGTTAATTCCCACAAAAATCTAAATAATCAGGAAAAATATATTCATGCAAACAAACGGAGCCAAGCAGGACCAAACAAATTCTGGGAAAGAATCAAGGAAATATATTATGGTGGCAAACAGAGGAAAACAAATTTTGGGAAATGTTTTTTGTATATACACCAAGGAAATGTGGAAAACTAAAAAACATATTACTGGGAAAATAATTTCATCTAAACAAACGGAGCCTGAAAGAAGAAAAAAATTATGGTAGTTTTTATTTGGTTTCATCTCATTTCTTCATAAGAATGTTATTACATATAGGGCATGCCACGTAAAAGCTTGCAGGAGATTAGAAGTTTAATTCCTTATTAGAAACAACCCATGTACACTTCCATAAGTCTATATTTTAAAGATCATTGTCATATTCCCGTATGGAGCCAGATGATACATCACCGTTCATTTTTAAAGTGAGTTGACTCCACTGGACCAATAATATTGAACAGTGATGATGATACCAAACAATAAGGGAGCCATGGAAGGCTAACTAAAAACAACTCCTTCCACATGAGCCTTTGTAGTAGTCCCCCCTATCTATGCAGCCACTTTCAGAAAAGGAAAATGTTTTTAGTACAACCAAGTTGTACGACAAGTTTTTTTTGTTAAAGGCAAGATTTTGACAGTGATGTTTTGTGCTTATGCGGGGGAAACATTATCTATGTGGACATTAATTTTGTAGTCCACATAGATAAAGTTTCCCCCGCATAGGCACAAAACCACAAAACATCTTGTGTACAAATGCGTCCTAGAGCTTGATTATGCACCAAACACCGCTCTTCAGAAAATACCCTTTGTTGCCACATTCTTTCTTTGCTTTTCTAGAGTCTCAAGAGGAACTTCTCACGAATGCCCTTTGTTGACCTGTTTTTATTTCGGTGAACATGTGAGACAGGCTCGGCCACTATTCAAAGACAGAAGGAAGTTCTCACAAATGGCAGATCCGATGCTTCAGGGGGAGTACCCGGTGAGGGGTATGTATCAAGCACTTGCTGTTGCTGCAATGTGTGTCCATGAGCAGCCCAACATGCGTCCACTCATAGCCGATGTGGTCACAGCCCTCAACTATCTTGCGTCCCAGAAGTATGACCCTCAGGCCCACACGGCCCAAAGGCGGCCTTTGGGTCCTTCCACCCCAAGAGCAAGAAGGGTGCAGCGATGATAGCAACTTTTGAAAGTTGGTTTGAGCAGTTTTTGAGCAGTTTGCGCTCTACTTGGCAATGGGGAGGATTAATATTGGACGACGAAGCATATCATATTGAAGGAAATTCTAGTTTTCCCTGAACGACTTTTCTGTGCATAATTTATTATACTGTGTTTAGATTTTTTAAATTTTGCAATTCTTTTTATTATTATCATCTGAAGAAAGAAAATTGAAAAAACCCAAAAAATTAAATTTCCTACTTTCCACTTTTCTTGTTCAAATATAGATCAATGCTAGATTCATTGTGGACATACTATTTCTATTTTTATTGCAAGTTATTGTTGGTCATATATTGCTCCATAATAAGGGTGGATCAATCCGATTGTGGGCCGCTCCCTGCTCTATAAAAGGAATCGAGACCGAGTATGGCTGCCTGGCTGGTTCCGGTTGCACTCATTTTCTTTTCTCGCAATAGTGTATAATAGTAGATATAGTAATGTAATTTTTTTGGAAATTGTATTCCCATAATTACTTTGTATACACATACATAAGGGTGTTCTTCAGTTCAGTTTTGTCGGTTTCGGTTTTATCTAGTGATGGACTCAACCGGTTCCGGGCCCGGGTTGGGCCTAGGCCCGGCCGGGCCCAAAAAAAATTGTGAGGCCTGGGACCGGCCCGGAAGTAGACCGGTGCTGGTCGGGGCCCGGGCCGGGTCGGGTCCGGTTATAATTTTTTTTTTGTTTTCCTGATTATTTTTATCCTCCCATCCCACAAACCCATCTGAAAGACCCATTCCAACCCATTTAAACCCAGCCCAAAGCCCCAAACCAACAAAAAAAAATTGAAAGACCCGAATCGGGCCCGGAACCGGCTGGGCCGGTTCTCATTTACCTAAGCCCGTACCCGACCCGATTACCCACCCAAAACCGGGCATAGACCCGGAACCGGTACCCGGTTCCCGAACCCGGTCCAAGCCTAGTTTTATCGATTCGGTTTTGGTTATCAATATATATTTAATTGATCAAAATCTTGAATTTGGCCAAGTATTTATTATAAGTGAGTGATATGTACTTCCTAAAAAGCACTCTATTATACTACGTACTGAACTGTTAAAGAGTTATTTTGATTATATAATGTTTCAATAGTTTCAGAAATAGACTAGTTAAAGTCAACTGTGATTATTAAATTATGGGGCTTTCAAGTTTCAACCCTGACAAAACAGAATTCTTTTTTCTTTCTCGTTTGACAAATGCTGTCCCAATTCAAGTTGGCAAATGATGCTGAAGTTATGAGACTTGGCAAACATTATTATTTCATCATTCCACACCTGTCTGGCTGTCTACTCGATAAAGAATTATACATTAGAACCGCAAAATCAAACTTACAATTAAATCAATGGTTTATACAACTGGGTAACCAAAAGTATATCTACTCATCTGTCCATCTTAAGCTCTATATATAATACACACTGTATGGTACCATTATAGATAGTATTAAATTATATATCCCTTCAACTATGCAGAATTATTCTCAGGGCTATTAAACAAATAAACTGATTTATAGCTGGCATGGGGGATGAAAACAGGGACAATTTTGATCAGATCTCATCAGAACACACACGGCCAGGCCCCAGCTTTTCTTATGCTAGCTCTGCTACTGGATGGCCATTCATCGCTTCCTGAGGGATCCTTGGACTTTCAATCTCATTCATTGCTGCCTTAACCTCACCACCTGGCTCCTCATCCAAGCTACTCTTCCCCTGCTCAATTAGATTTTTCAAAAGCCAATGAGGCAACAGATGGAATGATATAACCCATTCTTGTTATAATTACTATTATCATTAGGGTAAAGTTAACAACAATATAACTAACCTTGTTCCTGTCTCGCCATCTAGATAGCAGGCTGATTTTTCTTGAAGGTATCTCTTCATGATGATTGAATTGCATTTGTGAAGAATCTTGCTGTCCAGCTCTATCAACCACCACAAAAGCACACAAACACCTTCTATGAAATTACTATTTATATGCGTAATGTTGAATATTTGAGGCCAAATTATATTTTATTCTGCAAGGTTAGTCCAATTTGATTTGGAGCAAATCTTTCCATCTTCCAAATCAAAGAAAGGATTAATATGAATGTGTACCGCGGGGAAGGTAGGGTTTTGGTTTGACCAGATTGGTATTGCAAGGTAGCCTCCAGCATGGATTCGGCCATGACCACCCTTTTCTCCATCTCTGAGAGGGACGCCATAGCTTCTTCATACTTTTCCTGAAGGACTTGTGTGGCACTTCTTTGAGCTGCTGCTTCTTGCTCAGCAAATCTTCGAGCATCTTCAGTTACCCTTTGTTCTTGTTCCACCCGCATTAACACCTATTAACCACCCAAAGAAAAATTATTAAGATCCGCATAAAAAGTATAAACAACAAAGAAAGAGGTGGTCAAATTCAAATTGTGTCGTCACTTGAAGCATAGCATTCTCCTGTTCTTGTTTGTCCGCGAGCGCCTGCCTCAGTTCTCTAATATCTTCCTCTAATTGCTCGACCTAACCACATAAATAAGATTACCAACTAAAACACTATACATTAAAGGCAACCAAGTCATAGGAAAAGTTATTGCAGATTGCAGTATGATCATCATTCATCATTTTCATTTACCCCAGTGCCGCAAAGGCTCCCACCTACGGTGGGGTAAGGGGGTCAGATGTACGCAGTCTTACCCCTGTACTCAAGCACAGAGAGACTGTTTCCGGATGACCCATAGTGAAAATCGTATCCAAAATTGCATGGACTGACTGCTATTTCATAACAAAGAAGCGCAAACAATTTAGTGAGCCATTTTGCTTTATTCCATCATATTCTCAAGCCAAAAAATAGTGAATCTTTGGCTCCAATTCAAATGATGGAAATTAAGCAATATGATCATAAATATTCTAAAAAAGTAAAGCAAACCAAATGCCACAGCGAATTTCAGAAGCAGTTTCACAGGCAATGTATTGAGGTTCCATTAGTGCCATATGATAAAAAGCCCAAAAGGGACTGTTCATTTTCACCCTGAACACTCCATTGTTTTTTTGTTTGTTTTAGTTTGTAAAACCACCAGCTTAAATCAAGTGAATAATACATATCAGTGAAAAAATTTCAGCAAGAGGCTCCATAAAGCCTTTAGCCCTTGTTTGATTCAAAAGAGAGAGTTGGGGGAGAAAATGGGGGATGAAGGTGTTTAACACAATACTCCATATTACGTTTGGTTCAATGAAGTAGTGTGTAGGGAGTCGTATTTCTGGAACATATAAAAAGTATGTAGGTGAAAGTTTGGTTCACCGTGGACATTTTTTTTGTAATTTGAAGTATATCAATATACATAACTACATATATACCAATAATAATGTAGAACACATTTGATTAAAGAAATGGTGAAAGTAATTAGGAAAAAATAACTCCTCCAAAATCCCCCTACTTGGAATGTCGGTTACAAGGACTTTGGACTTTGGAGGATTTTAGAGTTCCACGCTTTTCTCTCCCCTCCACCCCCCCCCCCCCCAGAACTCCTTCACTTTCCTACCCTCCAAAATCTTTCAACCAAATAAAGGTTTAGGGTTTGCTCAGGATATCAAAGTTCAGTGGCAAGTGGTCCACTTGATTAACTGACAGCATTTCTCCATGTTAGATGGCTTCTATTCCATCCATTCTTATTTTGTATGCAACTACCCATTGACTGACCTTGTGATATTCACTCAAGGCCATTAACTAATATTAACACAATATCACCATGAAACACATAACTACCAAAAACAAGTTACCAAACCCTGCCTTAACAGCAAGATGATGGCAATTCAATGATGAAGGATTCTCTAATTTACCCTTGCACTTAATTGCCGACGGTTATCCTGCTTGACCATCTCCATTAATGCTGTTTCCAGTTCCTCAGCCCTGCACTCAAATAAAACACATAGAAATTCATGCCATCTTTAAACTAAGGTAAGATGGACACATACGTAAATTGGGAAATAATTGAATTTACACATAGGGAAAAAATTAAATCCGGACCTGAAAAATTCATTTCAACTATAGAGTCAATACATCAACTTCAGAAAGATGTAGAACAGTAGAAGGTGGGGGGGTTGTTTCCAATATGAAATCATTTTCTTTGATTACAGGCAATGCGGTATGGTAGGGGAATAAGAAAAGAAAGTCTTGCTGGGGGAACATCCTGCTCTTATGAAGCTACTTGATAGAGACTAGCAATACTCTACTTTGGGTTGCAGACAGGAAAGGCAAATTTGCTGTTAAAAAATAAATGCACCGAATAACTATAAAAATGAAGCATAAACCATGACCTTTCCATCCAATTATTCCACTTCTTTCTCAAGACAGTCCAAAATTTTGAAAACATCAGCAGAATACTAATCTCTTTTTAGTGACCATTTACTTTGCATTTTACTCAGAATCCCTACTAGAAATTACAAAGCCATAACTTTAGATATATGGGGTAGGAATGGCCAAAACAAATATTCAGCTGGAAATACATCACTTTAGTAGGAATCAGAAGTAAAAGGAGACTGCTCTAAGACTATATTACCTTAGTTCAGCAGATCTTTTTTCCTCAAGCAGCTTGCACAGTTCAACCTTTAACCACACCACCTGCAAAAAGAACAGTTCATACATACTACGTTTCAAATAACAGAATGCTGTGAGTTAAAGGTGTAGCATTTTTCCTCTTAAGATTAATCACATATCTGTGTGACCATAATAGGTCATTGCTTCCTATTCATGCATGGCAAGAAACCTCCCAAAAAAATTAACTAAGATTGTGTGCCATCCTTTTCTCAAACATCAATGTTTTTTATAGATAGAAGCTCCCTGAAAATAAGCTTTTTCAATACAGCACTTTCGCAATGAACAAAAACTTGAATTCCTTGTAAAGAAGCCAACGAGTATAAAGTTCATAGAACTATGGATGTTAGAGGCAACCTGTTCTTTAAGATCTGGACCAGAATCCTTCTCCGTGTTTTTGTTCATGCTCACATATGGCTCATCAGCATTAACTGATGAAGGATCCACATTTCCGTTGGAGTCTCTATTATCCTTTTTATTGGTCACCACCACAGAGCCAGGATCTTGTGAGAAGCCATACAGTTTAGATGCTAGACGACTCTGAGATTCCCTCCAAACCTTTAAACCTTTAGATCTCTCTTCAAGTGCGGCATTGACAGTTGGCCGGTGCTTATTCCTCAATTCTTGTAATCTATGTTCGGTAACATTTTGATAGCCCATGCATGCTGTCAAAACAAGCTGACTGCTATCGAATGTGGACCCCGCAAGCGATTGCAGCAGGGTAACCGCATCTCCTGCATCCTTTGTTGTCACCAATGCAGGTCCTAAATAAGAAGTATAAATACATAAAGAATTAATTATTTTGAACCAAGAAATTCAACCAATGCTTACTGCCAAGAATATTACCATAGAGATCCATCAATGCCAATGTTGTCCGAAATAACATCACACGATTTCCTTCAAATAGAAGCACATCCCAGACCCGGAGAACTAAATCCAATAAGAACATCAGAGACATGACTTTAGATTAGCAATCGACAAGTGATGGACATAATTACACAGCTGGAAAATCATGCACAGAAACTTAAAGATATGCAGACTACTTTAAATGGATTCTCAACAAACATATTGGGGTTGGTGGCCTGAACTTTAAAGTGTCAAATAATTGTGAAAAATTGGTAAGCACTACCAAATAATGCAAAAAGCATTGTGTCCCGACATTCTTATGAATGAATAATGAGATGAAACTTTGAAAATGTCAACTTTGTAGTTTATCTTTCACAATTACATAGAAAACATCATAGATTTAGATAATCAATTAATGATTAGCTAATGGAGAATGAACCAGACCACTTTCCCAAGGAAGCATGTTCATGAATATAGAGAGGAACCATGGCCCTGTTACCCATGCCACCTGTACTCCCAGGTAATCCAGATGATTAACTGCAATTAATGCGTGGACACAAGAAACAAATACATTAACATAGTAGAATTTAGAAAGGCGAAAGAGCAGAATTGTAGAAACAACCGACAGCAACAGATATACCTAATTTGGGAAATTTTTCCCGCACCAGTTCTTCAAGAACAAGTTGGTCTACCTGACAAAAAGTGTTTGAAAAACGTGGATCGATTTCTACTTTATATTATGATTATATACTTGATCATTGAATAACAAGTGACAAGGTTCGGCAAGATTAACATAGTAGCTAGCTTAAATGCGATTTCAAATTTACCTGAGACTCTATCATCTCTTCTGAGTAATAGCCATCAAAATAATCATCTAGGATGCCCATCAAAGTCCTGAAAGTTCATTTTTCCCCTTTGAATCGATCACAACAATTAAACTTCGGAAATATTCTCCAGATGTGGGTAAAAGAAAATTTATTGTAGTGTACATTGTATATAAATGTGATCCATCATTTACAGAACACAGGCAAAATGGTTGCCACTCTACTTGACTGAAGAAGTAATATAGCGTATGTCCTCCTTCCATCGAAACAGAATTTTTCAGTAAAAAATTCTATAAAAAGATAGAACATAGTATAGACAATTTACTGTCCCAATTATATGAAAATTTTACACAGTAAGTTGTCTTTTGAGAACAGTTGATGGGCCAACCAATATACTGACTATTTGTAATATTAATATAAACAGAATATGTCTGTTAAGAAACAAGATGCCAACCAGACTTGCCACTCACCAAAATGCATTTTCCTCCGGCATTAAGAGCAATAAGAGACCAGCAAAGAAATTCATAGCCTACAGTATTTAACATAGGAAGATTTCAGACTATTGTATACTGAAATGTAAAACTCACTAACTCTTGAATTAAAGATACAACTTTTCAGTATGTAATTGATTTGCAGGCATTTGACTCGGCAGAGAAGTAAACACGCAATATAATGGTTATTACAGTCCTCCAAATAGACACAGGAGAGTGTGAACATATACAAATATACTCACTAGTGCCTTCTTAACTATAACTCTCAGGTTGCAACATTACTATGTTTAAACAATATAACAAACCCAGGCTTCGACTTTTTCCATGTTCATATTTCATACAGTTCTGTTCACAGTAAAAAAGGTGTGAAACTGCAATGCACTAATGCCACATAAACGGCATACCTGACAGTAACCGACTGAAGGATTATGGCGGGCATATGCAGTAAGTAGACGCCTCAGAGCATTTCTTCCATCCTCATCCAGAGCAGGATGACCAGGAAATGTTCGAGGCAAGTCCTGCTTGTTAAAAGCGATGATGTTGGATCACAGTGGTAACAAAGCAGCAGCGAGGTGAAAAATATATAGCTTTCTGACCTTTTCAATCTGGCATTTCCACTTCTCAGTTGTACAAACAGAGCCAGCACTATCATCTTCTGATTCCGTAAGTTTATGCTCTATGTTATCAACAGGCTTGGTTTCTGGAGCAAGAAGATCTTGATAATATTCCTCCACTCGACGTGCCTTCACACCAACAAAGGCTTGCCAAAGCTGTAATACAAAGATCAAAGATTATATTCCTAATAGATGATTAAAATAAAAATAAAATTAGTGAGAAATGAAGTGGGTGCTTAAATCTAACCTCTCCCCTGAGAGCCATTGGAACTCCGCCCTGAACAAGGCAATCCAGCTCTTCTTTCCAATGAGGTAAAGAAGACTCTTGAGATAAAGTAGCTTCAGCAATACCCTCAGTCAGAGAGATGTCATGTATAGAATCTGAGTCTGATCTGTCCAGAGATTCAGATCTTTCCAGATCATAAAACACATCCTCTGAGTCCTCTTCAAACCCTCCTCCTTTAGGAGATCTAGACTCTTCAATAGTAGATGATGAATGCTCATTAGCCATTCCAGAATCTAGTTCACTTTTCACTCTGTTTGTCTTTTTAACACGTTTGCTCATAATATCTTCAATGGCTCGGAGTGCTGGTCTAACATCACACCATACTTGGATCTGGTGAGTTTTCTCTTTTTTGTCTGTGAAATTTTCAATATCATTCTGAGAACCAGAATCCAGTTCTGTCTTGAGTGTCTCATCAGGAAGATCTTTAACATCTATGGGCAACTGGGCAGAATCCGATTGTCGTTCAAGAAAGTCTTTCCACCTTTCAGACCTCTCCTCCTCTTCTTCCTAAAACACCATTATTAAGCACATATTTTTTTCTGAGTAAGTGAACACAAAATTACACAAAACAAAAAATATGGAAGGAAATGATGGTTAAGACCTTGTAAATATTGGCGTATTCACGGAATCTTTGTATATGCTGGGGCCTCACTGCAAACCCATAAGCATCCCTGTACACACAAACACAATAGTTAAACCATCAAAAGAAAAAAAGAATCAGAGTAGTCAATACACTAGCAGTACACCTAGCATAGCAAGTCAAAGTTCAAGCAGATTGGATTATGTAAACTCAGAACAGTGACCCATATCAGATATGAAGAAAACTCATGACCAATACACCAGCAACTAGTCTTTCTACTCAGCACAACCCATTTTCTTTTAAATTGGTTATTATATGAGATTATGAACATTAAATGAAGTAGACACATTAGTTAAACCATCGAACAAAAAAGCAATAAAAATATTGTCAGTCAAAACAAAGCCAAATCCAAAACTCTCTATTGCATTAGTAGAAACCAATAGAGACGAAGATGAAGCATATGGAATCATGTAAATTCAAAGCATAATGTTCCATTTAATTTCAAATAAAGAGTTACAATCATAATCAATGTATGAAGTAGTCATTGCATTAAGTAGAAACGGATTTCCTTGAATTTCATCATCATTATGACACCAACAACAACTAAATTTCCTTAAAAATAACGTGGGACGAAATATCATAAGACATTAGTGTCGGTAGAAATAATAATCCGCCGCTTCGCATTTCAGTCTATCAGTTCATCCCTTGATTGTAAACAAAAAATAGGTTATCAGAGTAGCAGATCCGAGATGAGAGACGAATTACACAAAGGAGAGCACAATGCCGATTGCCAAAGGACAAGTGGATGAAGCTACCTCTTGTGATCGAGAGTGATGCGCGGAGGATTCAGCTCTGCCGCCGCGGCCGCCGTTCTTGCTAATGCCGAATCCGCTTTACCCCTCATTGTCGGATAAGAGAGTGTCACAGAGAATTTAGAGATTTTACCGGATGCCCCTTCCCCTGTGACTTCTGCAACAGAAAAGGGGAAATGGGGAAGGAAAATGGAAACTTTCAAAATGGGTCTCTGACTTTGGACTTAAACAGAGAAAAAGAGAGAAGAAAATGGAAACTGTAAACGCTTTTCTTTCATTTTCTTCTTGACATTCTCATTGTCACACTCTGGGAGAAGGGAGAGAGTGGGGTTGTGGTTGAGCGCCACATGGGGATAGCGAGATTACCGCCACGCTAGGATGACATGTGAGAGAGGACTTCGCACGGAGTTCGATTGCCTTAATTTGAGTGATGATTGTTTAGGGCACAGATCACAGACTTCGGGGAGACGAAGGGAGTGTTTGCAACTGCTTAAAAAAAAGCACTTCTCAGCTTTTGGCTTTAAAAAGCACTTATTTACCAAACACTACCAATTTTTACTTTTTCTCGGCTTGCGTGTGAAAAGTTCTTTTCCCCTTTCTATTACACAAAAAGCACTTATTTTACCAAACACTACCAACTTTTACTTTTCAAAATCACTTTTTTCTCAAACACTATCAACTTTTACTACCAATCACTTTTTCATTACTTCTCCAAAAGTGCTTTTTTTTAAGCAGAAGCAGTTGCAAACACTCCCGAAGAAAGTAAGAAACCAGATGGGGATTTTTGGCTGCAGCTTTTTTCTTTTCTTTTTCTGGATAAAATGAAAAGAATATTCTAACCGATTTTCTATACCAATTTTCTTTTTTGATCGTCTATACTACCTCCCTTCTTTTTTATTAGTCCTTCTTTCCTTTTTGGGATGTTTTTTTTTATCTTTCCCCTTTTCCATTTAAGGAAAGTTTTTATTCTAAATATACCTTTATATCCAACTTTTATTACCATTACCCCTTTCTCTTTTCTATTTTTTCATTTACCCACTACTCATTACATCTTTTATACTACCCCTACTACTTTCTTCTTAAAACTTGTGCCAAAGCCTAAGAGAAAAAAACAAAAAAAATGTAGTAAAGAACGGAGGGAGTACCAATTTTCTTAAAGAGTAGTATAAATATATTTTCTACTACCTCTTTCTGATTTTATGTGTTTTACTTTGATTTGACATAAATATTATTGTACTACATTCATTTTATTTTGTTACCTATCTTGATCCGACGCTATTATTAATGAAACGGTTGAAAAAATAAAAGTTATGATTGAGATTTGAATATAGTAAAGTGAAATGTTATAAATCACATACTCGTATTTCTTTTCAATGATGGAAATATGACGCTTGTTTTGGGACAACCTGAAAAGAAAAGTAAGACAGATAAAATGGGACAGGGGAGTAATAAAGTGATTAAAAAATTTAAAATTGTGGTTGAGATTTGTGTACAATAAATTAAAATGCAGTAGATCACATATATATTTAAAAAATACTCCGTATGTGACTTATTTTGAAGCAACCGAAAAAATAAAGTAAAGGATATAAAATGAGACGAATGAAGTATTAATGAGCATAATCTTTTAGAATTTTAACTTATAATGGAACATTAAACTTATATACACTTAATTATGCAATGACAAAATTTATATATATTGTGATTTGGTAAACTCCGTAATATTTTATATAGCATATTTTTTTTGCGTATTAGTTATTGTATTTGATTTAACACACAAAGTAGTAACAAATTATTCTTTCTTATTTGAGTTATTACGAGTTCTCATTACCTCCAACAATTCCTTAGTGACATTATTATGTTATCTTCTAATTATTTATTTATCAAATCATCAACTAAAGCTACCAAATTTGCTTGTCAAAATTCACAAAACAACCAACAAAAAAATTTGTTGAGTATAAATTTGTTAACTCTATATATTTGTATGGTCACTATGATGTAAACCGAACAAAATCCTAATCATTAAAAGTTTTTAAATCATATTTGTACTCGCTACTATTATTTTGATCATATATCATGAATGACTAATCTTCTATAATATTACTTTTTTATTATTAGTAGTAATTTAAATACATTTATGGTCAAAATTGCGTGTTATCACATATCTATTTCAACTAATGATGAAAGTATGAACGATGGTAGTATTACCTTGGATGTTAACATAATAACATCCACCCTAAAAATGATTATGATGCTTTAATTATGTATTAAATATCATAAACTTTCACCCAATAAAGAAAAATATTTACAACCATGTTGTTAATAACTTAATATTAGCTTTTATGTAAAATAATGATATTAATATTTTATACGGAGTATATGCAAATTTGGGATACTGGGTTGACACCCATCGAAAAAGTAAAGTTAAATATGTAATTCCTTTAGTTCCTAAGTTAAACAAATGTTGACTAAAGTTTAGTATAATGATCAGTGGCGTATCCACTATGGGGGCAGCGTGGGCGGCTGCCCCCACTCAACCCCAACCCAATCCCTATATATATCTAAAAGTTTATAAGAAATTGTTCAAAATAAGAGTTAAATGTAGAAAAAAATCTAAAATAGGATTAAGAACATTTTCCTTCATATTAAAAGAATGAAAGACTAAAAAATTCACTAAATTTTGTTATGTGTAACTTATATTTAGATAATTTTCTCAAACTTTATCTGTAATTACATCTTTACACACGTAATATAAATTCTTCTTCTTTTTATTCATACATACTTGTACATATATATCTTAAACTAAATTTAATCAAACAATATTAATAATGGCATTTGCTATTTGTAAAATATGAGACTAAATTGTAGTGCATGTTTGCCCCTACTTGCCAAATTTCCTGGATACGCAACTGATAATGATGATTGCTTTTTACTATGGAGTACATAGTACAAAAAAGTTGTGTTAAGCTAGAGATGAACATATCGGTTTTCGATTCGATTTTTATCGATTTCGGTTCAGTCCGAAATAGGTTGGAAGAATTATTACCAAACAAAGACCATTTTTTTTTGTTTTGTTTAGTTCGATTTATTTCGTTGTTGTGAAATGAAGAAGATGAAGACCAGATTTAAGGGATAGATATATAGATAAAAACCTCTAAATTACTTCTTCTTTAATTTATATCTGAAATTTCTGAGTATCTTTACAAGGCATCACCAAACCCCTATTTATACTGATGGAGCTTGGTGATGAATCATCAAAGAATCATTCTACATAATATGCTGGCAACATTAAACCTAGCCATCTGTTTATTACAAGGATGGAAATTGGATTAGTGTCCTGATGACAAGGATGAACAATTCACACTTGTCATTCTCAGGAATTTACAACACTCCCCCTTGAATGTTCATCCTTGAATAGTTATTTGTTATTTGTGAAATTAAGGGGTAAAAATTACGACTTATAATGTCATTGTATTTGGATGTACTGTCTCGTTAAAAACCTTATCAGGAAAAACCCAGTGGGATAAAAACCTGATGAAGGGAAAAAGAGTGCAGTGCATTCAAATACTCCCCCTGAATTTAGTATAAATTATGAAGACGTCGCATGCCAATTTTCTGTACAAGTTCCATGAACTTCTTCGGGGGTAAAGATTTGGTGAAGAGATCGGCTGGATTTTCACTGGATCTGATTTGTTGAATGTTGATCGTCCCATCTTTCTCCAGATCATGAGTAGAGAAGAATTTTGGTGATATGTGTTTTGTTCTGTCTCCTTTGATATAGCCCTCTTTAATTTGAGCTATGCATGCGGTGTTGTCTTCATAGATCAAAGTCGGGTGACACGTAATAGGCTTTATACCGCATTCATTTTGGATGTGTTGAATCATAGATCGCAGCCACACGCATTCCCTCCCGGTTTCATAAAGTGCAATTAACTCCGAATGATTTGATGATGTAGCTGTCAACGTCTGTTTCATAGATCTCCACGAGATTGCGGTATTACCATAAGTAAATACGTACCCGGTTTGTGATTTTGCCTTTTGAGGATCTGATAGGTATCCAGCGTCTGCATATCCGATTAAAGAAGCTTTTGCATCTTTGTGGTAGAATAGGCCGAGATCAATTGTACCACGGAGATAACGGAATATGTGCTTGATCCCGTTCCAATGACGTCTTGTTGGGCATGAACTGAACCTAGCTAATAAATTTACAGAAAATGCAATATCTGGTCTAGTATTATTAGCTAAATACATTAAAGCTCCAATAGCACTCAGATATGGTACTTCGGGACCAAGTATTTCTTCGTCGTCTTCTCGGGGACGGAATGGATCATCGTGTATGTTGAGAGATCGAATGACCATTGGTGAAGTCAAAGGATGAGCTTTGTCCATATAGAATCTCTTCAACACTTTCTCGGTGTAATTGGATTGGTGGATGAAAATTCCATTCTTCAAATGCTCAATTTGAAGGCCGAGACAAAATTTGGTTCTCCCGAGATCTTTCATTTCAAATTCTTTCATAAGATATTTTGCAGTATTTTCAATTTGATCGGGAGTTCCAATAATGTTTAAGTCATCTACATATACTGCAATTATGGCGAATCCCAAATTTGATCGCCGAATGAAAACACATGGACTAATTGGATCACTCTTATATCCTTCTTTGAGAAGGTATTCACTGAGACGATTATACCACATTCGTCCAGATTGTTTTAGTCCATACAATGACTTTTGTAGTTTAATGGAGAATATGTCTCGAGATTTCGAGCTATAAGCTTCAGGCATTTTAAATCCACCGGGAACTTTCATGTAAATGTCTGTATCAAGTGAACCATATAGATAGGCAGTCACTACATCCATTAGGCGCATTTGCAGCCTTTCAAAAACAGACATGCCAATGAGAAACCTTAATGTAGTTGCATCAACTACTGGAGAATATGTTTCTTCATAATCGATTCCCGGCATTTGAGAAAAACCTTGGGCAACAAGTCGGGCTTTATATCTAACAATTTCATTTTTCTCATTGCGTTTACGCACAAATACCCATTTAAAACCCACAGGTTTTACGCCTTTTGGCGTAGGGACTATCGGTCCAAAAACATCACGTTTCTCAAGTGATTTTAATTCAGCCTGAATAGCTTCATTCCATTTTGGCCAATCGTGTCGTTTCCGACATTCTTCAATTGATGTTGGCTCATTGTCATTGTTTTCATTCATAACATTTGTGGCAACGGCATAGACAAATATCTCATTAATATCAATATCTTTTCGATTCCATTGCATTCCAGTAGAAACGTAGTTTATTGAAATTTCATAATTATCAACGTTTCTATCAGTATCTGGAATATCTTCCTCATTTAAGGAAGTTGGATCATTATTTGAGATGTTTGTTTTGTCAATATCATTTTCTATGCCAGTATTTTCAAATTGTTCATTTTCTTGTTCAGAAGGATGAACATCTTTGGCATCACAGATCAATTCCTGCCTTTT